TGCATGTATATAAAGGCACAGCACGGTCCGTATGTAAGCATAGGTACATAGTGCATGTATATAAAGGCACAGCACGGTCCGTATGTAAGCATAGGTACATAGTGGGCACATAATGAGCACAGTTTACTGCACAGAACAAGGAAACTGAGCCCCATGGGTATGAGGGACCATGCCAGGCGCACACTCACGTAGTGTCCTGGTTGAAAGAGACACAGTTGTGCCTCGTATCTGCGTCCGGAGCATCTGGGGGATTCTCCAAGACCCCGGGCTGCTGTGAGGGCTCCATCCCTGCTCCGGAGGCCTGCGCCTGGACTCAGGGCAAGGCACCACGGCTCCACTGCGGCTGGAGCTGCAGGCTCCAGGATCCAAGGCTCCAGGGCTCCAGGCTCCAGGCTCCAGGCTCGGTCCACTGTGAGTCTATCACAGAGCCATGGTCAGGGCGGACGGATCGTGTTTAGACCAGAGCCATGGTCAAGACGAACAGCGACAGAAAAACAAGAGCAGCTGACGCCTAGGCCCCGTCCGCTGCCGCTCATTGGCTCCTGGTGATGTGACGCAGCGCCGGACTGACCTCTGATTGGACACTGGATCATAGTGCGTTGTGGAGGCGGGACTGCGGTGAAGACGTCTTCGAAAACAGTCAAAATGTGGAAACTGTGCGCCTCAGGGAGGGAACTTACGCATCAGTCACATCAGAGACGCCTGCTGTTTCAGAGGTGTGCTGATGAAGCATGTGGCACCTTTGATTCAATGTGTCTGTGTCTCGCTCTAAATCACAACAGCAGTCGTCTCGGAGGATAACAAAGTTGTTCATTCCTAGACATCAGATCAAAGAATCAAGCTGTCCGAACACTGGAAATACAGTAAGAACCAATGGTGTAGGTTTGGTTCCAATCTTGGTGGGGACATTCACTACGACCTGAGTCTACACCCATTGACACGGGGTCCAGAGTTTCTCCCCCAGAATTTGTTGTGTAATCACACACTATATTTGCAATAGTGTGTTGCCTTCTATACTAAACTCAGCTGTAGACTGAATGAGAAGTAGTTAAGGATTTTTTCTAATCGTTAAAACAAAATCAATTGGATCAGAACTTCTGAGTTTTGTGTTGCGTTCATTCTAACTTTGTCCACAAGATGGCTTAAATGTTTATAGTAAATAAGATAGTAAATATATCCTGTATTCAGGATAGGTTATATATGGTTTACAACCTATCTCAAATATGCTGTCCCTGGCACTTTCTTGAGAGTGACTCTCATTGGCTGCCTCCTAAATAGCAAATACACTGTTATGAAACTTTAAAAAATCCCATATTTTATCTTCATAATTCCAGCCTCACCTGAAGCCCAGCTTCGATATCTGCCTGCACTACATCTTCCCTGAATACCTGAGTTCCCTATAATAAATAAAACACATGTAGTGCATAAACAAATCAGATCTAAGCATATACAAAATAAAACCACCAACAAAACCAAATAAATACTTTCAACCTCACCTGAAGCCCTGAAGGTCCAGCCACTTCCTCATCCTCTACCAGTACTGCACATTCCCTGTTTGTCTGACTTTCCTTTATGGTATTAATAAAAACACACATTCTACATTGAATAAAATGAAACCTAGGCATGGTACACCAGTCGCTAAATATCTCATGAAACTAGAATTGGTTGATGGGTCTAAGATTATAACTGCTTAATCCTAACCTCACCTGGAGTCCTGTCTTGTCCTTGTCTTTATCTCCTTCTTGAATTTCCATTATATCTCTCAGAGTGTCCTATATTTAGTAAAAGATTTCAGACAACACTTTTTGCATCATTATAGTAGTAAAATATGTTGTAATTGGCATAGGTAATTTCCAACCAAATGATGTTCTTTAACTTTAGTATGATTCTATACTGACTTAAACCTAATCCAAATCTACATAATAGCCCTCACCTGAGGCTCTAACAGTTCAGGAACTGCTCTCGATACTTGAAATAAATCATGCTCTGATCTTTCAATTTCCTATAATAAATAAAAACAGAGGAGAAAATATTGAATTAGAATCTACAGTGAGTAGCTCACTACATTGTTTGACATATACGATCAATCTCTAAAAACAATTCATAGTCCCATGCATACCTACAAAATTCCAACCTCACTTGATGCACTGAAGGGCCTGTTGCTTCTACCTCAACATTCCCTATATTGTTCTCTCTTGGTGGTTGAGTTTCCTATGTATGTTAACAGAAGATTAATCATCACAATTCATAATTTGCTATTACTTGTGCTTTCTCTTACTTACTTTCCAACTGTTAAAAAAGCTCCTGATATCTTTTATCTTTTTTTGTGGAGGTGGCATTTTTTCTAAATTATATAAGAAGGTATAGACAATCAAAAACAGACATTCATATACATGAACTGCAGAATCATTTATATAACTTGGCCAATGTCAAAAGTTATAGTATTTCTCAATACAATGAGTTAACAAGAGTTTGGCAATAAGTAACAGTGTGGATTTTTCTATATTTTCTTTTTTTTATTCCACTCTCTACCCAAAAAGGCAAGTAATGACTCACAGGGTTCTCAAGTATTCAAAATAAAAACTTAAATGACCTGTTGTGGTGTGTTTTGCGCACAACCAGCATGCATCGTTAACGCAATGGAAAATTTAGGTATCCGAGCTTTAATTTCGGGAGCGCTGGTTGCGCTTTGGGAAGAGTCAGGGGAGAGACATGTCAGAGACACAGGGGAGAAACGGGGGAGATACGAGGGAGACCCGCACTTGCAACATGGTTCTGTCTGCATATGGTCCGAGCTCGGTACCATGTTAGAGCTGTGCTTTCACTGAGCGCCGCGGCTGTCATTACAAAGCGGCAGCAGCTGCACCAGGACGTGCTGTCACACATTTCACAGAAATTACATTATCAGCAGATAAAGGTTGTAAATCGTGGATCCGTGGAATATTTTCATCCCTAGTTTATCCTGATTCACACAACACACCCACTTATACATTTTGGATAGTAAGAGCACAATAAGTATTTTTTCAGCCTTTCAACCAACCTGTTTCTTTATTGGAGCCAGTTCTGTTCTGTCTCTGTGCCGTGTGAGCTCCTCGGAACATTAAACAGTGCGCTGACAGATTAGAAATAACGTAAGTACTTTGAATGGTAATAGATCTACAGTACTTTCCTCTGATTACTCACGTGCTACAACGCTCAGGGAACGAAAAAAAACACTTGCTTCACGCTGGCTAACTTAAAAAAATTAAACAGTCGCTCAGTGCTTCAGTTTGGCGCTGAAGAAGACAGCCAATCACTGCAGAGAACGGAACGGGTCACGTGCTGCTGCTGCTGCTGTTGCTCTGGAGGCGAGGAGGAGGCGCGACGTATGCACAAACGGAAGACATGTGTCCCGGACCGTCCGGGTCACGGGACATCATGTCATTTTGGTGGGGACTTTTTAGTCCTCACCAAATATTGGTGGGGACATGTCCCCATGGTCCCCACGCAAACCTACGCCCTTGGTAAGAACACAGAGGAGCCATTGGTCCATAGGAAGCGGGATTGTCCTTAAAATATCACTGTCCTTAGACCCTCCTGCTTCAGGAAGAAACCACTCAAAAAAGTGGGAAACCTCAGTGAGTGCACGGACTGAGGCTGTAGATCCAGGACTGAGGCTGTAGACCCAGGACTGAGGCTGTAGATCCAGGACTGAGGCTGTAGATCCAGGACTGAGGCTGTAGATCCAGGACTGAGGCTGTAGACCCAGGACTGAGGCTGTAGATCCAGGACTGAGGCTGTAGATCCAGGGCTGAGGCTGTAGATCCAGGACTGAGGCTGTAGATCCAGGACTGAGGCTGTAGATCCAGGACTGAGGCTGTAGATCCAGGACTGAGGCTGTAGATCCAGGACTGAGGCTGTAGATCCAGGACTCAGGCTGTAGATCCAGGACTCAGGCTGTAGACCCAGGACTCAGGCTGTAGATCCAGGACTCAGGCTGTAGATCCAGGACTGAGGCTGTAGATCCAGGACTCAGCGTGTGCGGCGCACCTGGCTGCTTTAAAGGTAAGACAAACTTTGATTTGCAGTATGAATAAGGAGCAAACACAACTCATCTTCAAAAAACTTTCATGAAATGACTGAATTTTGGGAATAATATACAATATTTGCACATAAAAGTAAGTAACTAAATCAAACCAAAAGCAGCAGGTCCAGACCCTCCGCACAGTGCATCACTGTATGAGCTTTCACATTTTGCCTTTGACAAGTTAAAGCAACTCGTTCTGCCTGCATGAGAATTTTCCATCCATCATCCATCCAATTTCTTCCCCTTAATCCATTTCTGGGGGAGCTGCACCCAGTACATATAGCACCATATTTAGATGCGTCTGTCTCGGGTCATCATGGATCCGCTCACACAGATGGACGTTGATTCAGCATGGATAATTCCCTTCTGTTTCTACACAAATGTCAGCATCACATGTGAAGATCCAGGACACGAATAAATTGTATTGAATGTTTTACTGAATTGTATTTTAGAATGTATTTTATATTGTATTATCAAGGACTACAGATGGACAGAAGCTAAATCTGGTGCAGCCATGTTTTTAATGTAACTGCACAGTGTCCTTAATAAATGAAACTCTAAACTCTAACTGAATTCTCAAACATTCTTCAAATTGAATGTAAATGTAAACAATACACGATCAGAGCCTAAACACATTAAATAGAACAAATATTAAATGGAGAAAAGAATGAAAACACATGAAAATTATGCAGGGAATGGTTTAATCAATGACATCTGTGTTTATTCAGTGAGATATGAACGTGTCTTCAGCTCTGTCGTCTGCGGGTCTGGGGTGCTCCTGCTTGGTTGGAACAAAAACCTGCAGCCACACCTTTGAGCACCAATTTGAGATCAGACGAGGAGACCAGAGGTGGTTGCAACAAAGTATTTAATCTTTGGTCTGCGTTTCCCTGACGACACAAACACCAAACAGAGACGCAGGATCTGGGACGACTCACTGCTGCGGAAACAAACAAAAACACAATCGCTGAACCGTGGGCCAAGAAGTATTTAGTCAGCCACCAAATGTGCAATGAGATGGCCGTCATTTTCATTATAGGTTCACATCAACTATTAGGGACAAATGAGAAAAAAAATCCAGAAATAAATAAATCTGATTGCACATTATGTGGGAAAATAAGTATTTAGTCAATAACAAAAGTCCATCTGACTAATGTTTTATATTCCCTTTGTTGGCAACGACAGAGGTCTAATGTTTTCTGTAAGTCTTCAAAACATTTTCATACACTGGTATTTTGGCCCATTCCTCCATGCAGATCTCTAGAGCAGAGATAAGATAAGATAGACTTTATTGATCTCACCCAGGAGAAATTTACATCCTCAATGCCTTTGATGATGTAAGGAGATTTTCACTCAAAATTGTGTTCTTTGGAGGCAACTCTGAATTTCATGCTTTTAACACAAAGTTGGTGGTATAAACTGCTCATGCTCCAAATCCTCCTCTGGCTCACCCAAATTCTTCAGACGAGCCTGGACATGTACTGGCTTAAGCAGGGGACACTTTCTTCCACATGTTGCTTTGCTCCTTGTGACTTTGTGACTGACTTTCGGTTCACCGCTCGTGCATAAAGGCCAGATGTGTTTAGTGTTTGACTGATATTTGCATCATGCACAGATTCCCCCATGTGAGCTGTGGACGTCCAACCCAGTGTTGTTCTTGTCTGTGAGCTGTGAGTTTTGTCAGACAGTCGAGTCTTGGTAGATTTGCAGTTGTACCATACACACAATTCCATTTCTGAATAATGGATTAAACAGTACTTTGAGAGATGTTCAGAGCTTTGAAAATGTTGGTCCCAGCTTTTAACGTCTCCACATGTTTATCCCTGACCTCTGACCTCTCTGGTGTTCTCCTGAGCCTTCATGATGCTGTTTAGTGACCTCAACACTTTGACCTCAGCGCGGAGGCATCGCAGATTTTACTACTTTTGACACTGTCACACTGTCAGTTTTTGATTGTGGGACTAATAAAGGTATCATTCATGATATAAGTATGCGTGTAAATGAACTTATGAGTGGGGCTAACCGCGTCAAACCAGTATCAATGAACTTAGAAGCAAGGCTAACCACTTCAAAAAGTCCGTCTTTGAGTGAACTTTTCTCTGGCGATTCTATTTTTGTCAATAGGAAATCAAATGGAGCAGTTTGAAGCGTCCTCTATCTGTATGAGGAGCACATGAAGCCGTTACCTGCAGTTTCCAGATCCCCATGGCTCCATCCAGAGACACACTGCTGAACGAGCTCACGCTGTCCCCTGAAGCCGACACCACACACAGCTGCCTGGACACACAAACGCACACACAAGAACAATAACCACACAATGTCACAAGAGGGACTCGAAAGTACGAACGGCAGACAAAAAGCAGCGATACGAGGCCCAAGGACACAACGACCGCAGACATCAGTGGGAGTCGATGGAGAAGGTAAAGTAAGTAAGTAAGTAAGTAATTATTTATATACCGCCTTTTCACTGCAGAGCTGAGTCTCAAAGCGGTTTACAATTGTTATTTTTTTGGGCATTTGTCTCTCACTCCACACAGAGATTGTAGCCCAGATTTTATTTTATCTTAAATGTATTGCCTATTATCTTAAATAATAGACTTTAATGTGTGCAATCTGAGTGCTCTTATTTCCTTTCTCTGCTGTAATGTGCAACGATGACACTGAAATGTCTCCACTGTGAGACTAATAAAGGTTTATCTTATCTTATCTTATCTTATGGGAGCGGGGTCGCATGCCAGAACTATTTTACATATTTTTAGCGGTAGGGGAAACCGGAGTACCCGGAGGAAACCTACGCAGACACAGGGAGAACATGCAAACTCCACTCAGAAAGGCCCTGGTCCGACCGGGATTCGAACCCAGGACCTTCTTGCTGAGAGGCGAGAGTGCTATCCACTCAGCCACCGTGTCGCCCCAAGGTCTCATGGGAGGTTCCAACACACAACCATTTGGACCAAAGACCAATTCTTGGGTTTCATATGACGTCAGGGCAGTGGCGCAAATAACAAATGTAGGACAGGACGTGACGTATCCTGGCGGTGCAGTCTGCCGGGTTTATACACAGAGATATAGTAGAAGAAGAAGAGCTGTCAAAATGCCCTCTTTGTGTGCGGTGTACGTTTGTAGCAACCGCACAAATAGAGAGAAAGACCAGAGATTGTTCATGTTCCAACTGTGGTCTCAAATAAAGGAGGAACCTTTGAAAAAATCACTGGAATGAGGAGGTGGATCAGGGCTTTCCCAGATAAGCGCCCCCTGCAGGCCACCCAAATGAAACAAAGCAATTTATTCCGTTTTTTTTTTTTTTTCCAAAAATGCCCGAAATCAAGACTCTTGAGAAATATTTTTTAGTTCTCCCTTAGAATTGAGTGTCCCCGATTAAGACTGTTACAACAACCGTACACCGCACAGGAGGAGAGCCTTTGACTCCAAATCAGACTTTACATGGTTTTCAATGGGAGCAGAACTGAGTTGTCCCACCTCTGCTCGTTCGCCCCCTACTGGCCAGTTTAATGAAACCCAAGAATGCTCTTCCAACTGAGCCACTGTCAACTTCAGCTCCATCAAAGCTCATTATAAAGCTCAGAACAGTCCGAATCCAGGAAAAACAGTTTCACAATCTGCGGTGTCTGCCCCTGGACAAGTCTGTGGAACTAAAGTGGCCGTCTTCCCACTGATGTAGAGGGTTGTGAGATGAACGATCTGTGGTGAGCGTGTGTGTTGGTGTTTGCCGTACATGATGCTGTTCTGGTGCAGCGTGCCCAGTTCACCGATGTCCTCCTCCGTGGCTTTCTTGTCCAGGTTCTTGAAGTGCTGCATGGCCGACACCGTGCTCTTGGAGCTCTGCTTGGGCACGTCCAGCTTCTTGACAAAGGTCAGATCTCCCGGCCCCTGGTACGAGTACTGGTACGGACAGCAGTCATGGCCCTGGGTACAGCAGCCACACATCATTTAGATTAAAGAAGCTATACGCTGATAGCGGCTATAGCTCCAATGGCTCCACAGCCTAAACAATGCAACAATCAATCAATATTTATTTCTATAGCACAGTTCATACAGAATGCAACGCAAAGTGCTTCACAACACAACAATCGCAACAATGAGGAAGAGAAGAGGAAACTAAAGCGAAAAAATGATCAAAGAAGAAATCAAGCCCGGGTGAACATAGCTTACATCGTATCCTCTGGAGAGACCTGTGGGACCGACTCGGACTATCTATGCTCGAACTATCTATGCTCGGACTATCTACGCTCGGACTATCTACGCTCGGACTATCTACGCTCGGACTATCTACGCTCGGACTATCTACGCTCGGACTATCTACGCTCGGACTATCTACGCTCGGACTATCTACGCTCGGACTATCTACGCTCGGACTATCTACGCTCGGACTATCTACGCTCGGACTATCTACGCTCGGACGCGAAACTAGCGGTAATCTTTCAGTTATATATTTTGTTAGCAGTGCGTTGCTTCTGTACCATTTCATCAGTGATTGTTGTACAGCTTACAAGAAGTTGCGCTCATGCTAATGTTAGCATATGTATCAGATCGCAAATAAAACTAGGTGGCTCCGTGGGAGGAGAGCGTAGGGGAAATGAGAAGCCTGTGAGCGAGTTGGGGGCGGTGCTAAACATGCAAACTGAATACAAAAAACCTTGCAGAAACGGGTATAGCTAATTTAAGAGAGCCCTTATTTGTCCCACAGTGGGGAAATGTCAGTGTTGTATGACAAGTTACAGAACAGTAGGAATGAGGAGCAGACAAGTGAATATTAAGTATAGCATAACTTTCAACTCAAATACACTCTGACTCCTGCTGGTCTCCAGAGCAAGGCTTAATGTTTTTTTAATTTTTTTATGGGAGACCAGAGAGAGACCACAGACAGGCCAGAGAGAAAGACCAGAGAGACCAGAGAGAGACCACAGACAGACCAGAGAGAAAGACCAGAGAGACCAGAGAGAGAGACCAGAGAGACCAGAGAGAGAGACCAGAGAGACCAGAGAGAGACCACAGACAGACCAGAGAGAGAGACCAGAGAGACCAGAGAGAGAGAGACCACAGACAGACCAGAGAGTGACCACAGACAGACCAGAGAGACCAGAGAGAGACCACAGACAGACCAGAGAGACCAGAGAGAGACCACAGACAGACCAGAGAGACCAGAGAGTGACCACAGACAGACCAGAGAGACCAGAGAGAGACCACAGACAGACCAGAGAGACCAGAGAGAGACCACAGACAGGCCAGAGAGACCAGAGAGAGACCACAGACAGACCAGAGAGACCAGAGAGAGACCACAGACAGACCAGAGAGACCAGAGAGAGACCACAGAGAGACCACAGAGAGACCACAGAGAGACCAGAGAGAGACCACAGAGAGACCAGAGAGAGAGACCAGAGAGATCAGAGAGAGAGACCAGAGAGATCAACAAAAGTTTTTTCCTGACTTTAAATGAAGGTAACGGTCATGTTATATTAGCGATATATAATGTTATTAGAGTATAAGTGTAATTACAGAGTGTGATAGTGTGGGACCACAGTATGTGCAAATGAAAGGACTGATATTGAAGATATTTAAGGTGCTTTGTTGTGACTTCCTCGTCTCTAAAGCAGCACGATGCTGGTTCAGAATCAGAATCATTTTTATTGCCACGTAAGTAACAGGAAGTCACAGACTTGGAAATGGCTTTGGCTCAGTGCAACAGTCAGACAGAGAGATAATTGTGAAAGAAAGAGATAGAAAGTGATGGTTGTGGTGTGTTTCCTTGTCTTTCATTTCAACAACAATAATGGACCTCAAACCTTTACTATTGTAAAAGCACAGGTTCACAGTCATTTCAGTCAAATACAAAGAAGTTACCGCGGCAACAATGTGGGTGGGGCTGGCGTAGAGCACACTCAGCAGGGGCAGGCTCTCCGTGGTCAGCGTGGTCACCCTAAGAGAATATCGTCATCATCATCAAAACAAACCAGGCCATCATCATCATCATCATCACAATAAGTAAGTAAGTAAGGTTTATTTATATGCTGCATTTTACAGACCACGGTCACCCAAAGCGCTTTACAATTGTTCAGAGTTCAGATAGTTATTCCATTCTCTCCACACGGTGATGACGGAAGCGAGTCGCCGAACACACTGGAGCATCAGAGCCCCCATTCAACACCATCCATTCACTCTCTCATTACATATCATACATAACACGCTAAACACAGGACATTTGAACGACCACAAGACCTGCCTTTTGATGAGTTCAAAAAGATTGAAGGTTTATTTAGAGACCTGAGATCTGGTTCGCCTTCAAAGCCTTAACATTTGGAGACTTTTGCATTGAGCGGTGTTGATACTCACTCCTTGTCCTTGGAGGCGTCGGCCACGGCCATGCTGCTGTTGTGAGAGACCCAGACCAGCTGGTCTCCACTGGGGCTGAAGGCCACACTGTGCACCCATCCTCCACAGTCTTTATGCTCCAGCAGAACCTCCCCAAACGGCATCTTCACTCCCCAAGCTGTGGGCCCCGGCTTCTCCTCAATGTCCTTGATGTAGGTGGAAAATACCCTAAAACACATCAAAAGCATTTGTAATCAGAATCAGAATCATTTTTTTTGCTATTTAAGTATCAGGAAGTCACAGACTAGGAAATGGCTTCGGCTCAGTGCAACAGTCAGAAAGAAAGATAAGGGTAGAGAAGGTATAATAAAAATAATAAAAAAACTTCTAAGGAATAAAATTTAAAACAGAATTATTACAATTACAATATACAATATACAAGTGCACGTGGTGCACACAATGGTGAGAGCAGTAAAGTAAAGTGACATTATAAAGGGCAGTAAGGTGACTTCTAAAGGGCGGGGGGACGGGTTATGAAGTGTTCAATAGTCCAACAGCAGAGGGGAAGAAACAGTTCTTAAAAGATCACCGCCGTGGCGACCATAAGAGGCGCCATCTTGTAATGTGTTCATCTAAAAGATAAACGACATGCTCTGCCTGGAAGTGTTTCCCTCAAAATAAGACTTCACTCTAAAAACAATTATTTGGTTGTGATCTAGTTGTTGTGCGTCCGACCATTCTATTAATGATTGTATCTATTTTGGTCATACAGCGCTTAATGATACAACAAATACAGAAATGTTTTACTCACACTCCAGACTCATAGAAGGAAATATTCGTGACATTTCCTGCTTTAGAGCACAACAGTTCGGCACTTTACAGCCACAGCTGCCCATCCTCTCTCAGATTGAATTTGTGGACGCACAGAACTTCTATAGAGCTCACTGACAGGAACTGATCTGTCCTGGATCGAAGTGAGAGGCAGAGGCGATTACAGAGCAGGTCCCAGGAGCAGGGTGTGGACTATGGGTCTTACAGTCTGGACTTTGAGAGGCCTGTAGCAGAGCCCTGACTGTCACCTGCAGTGGAGGTCTGCGGAGCCGGCTGCCAGAAGGATGTTGTTGGGGTGCCAGTCCAGACTGAGCACCGTGGAGCGGATTTCCTTCTTAATGTGTTTACTGAGCCACCTGCACAACACAATTAAATACATCACAATAAACTATAGTATTTAAAGTGCTTTTTGCTGCTGCGATAATTACACAGATACAACAAAAAGATTCATTATAAAAGAGCCTTTTCAAGCCTACATCATATACAGTATCGCAAGTATTTAAGTACAAACAAATGGTTAAAAGCTTAAAAACACACAAAAAGGCTAATATGTTCTAATCAGACTAAGTTAGAATGTTTTTGGAAGCTATTTATCAAAGCTAGGAGTGCTGACCAGTCATTCTCCTCTTCAAAGTAGCAGATGGAGATGAGGCGGGCCCCGGAGCCCAGGGCAAACTTGTTCTCCTTGGGGGACCACTTGACGCAGGTGGCCGCCCGGTTGATGCGCACCAGCACCAGGGTGGGCTTCCACTGACCCTCGCGCAGGGTCCACACGTAGGCGTTCCGGTCCGCGGCACATGTGGCGATGCGGTTGGACTCTGGGGCCCAGTCGATCCCTGACACACAGTATTACACACTTAGAAGAAGGTTCAACTTCAAAACCTGCATCAAAGTGTAGCTGAGATAGAAACACCACCTGTTACTATGGAAACCCCTGCTCCTGACAGACGCCCTAGCGGCAATGAATGATGGATAATGAAGGAGGACTCATTTCCCTACAGGGACAATAAAGTCTATCTTAACCATAGCACATTGTTAATAGTATTTAACTGCATCTGTGCATTCATGAGCAATAATGTGGGACCACATGTGTCGCTTTTAGCCCAGAGCTGATGTACCGTACAGTAGTATCACACCCTCATACTGCTGGACAGACATACATGTTACATGTGAAGCTAAGCAGAGTAGGGCTTGGTTAGTACTGTGATGGGAGACCCCTAGAGCCTGAGGTGCCACAGTGGGGAAGCTGTGGCTGTAAAGGGCCAAACTGTTGTTGCGTCCTTGGGCAAGACACTTCACCCACAGTGCCTAGGCCCTAGAATGAGTCTGGTGTGTGTGTGTGAATGGTTGGTGGTGGTCAGTGGTGGTGCTCGTTGCCTCGCTTCTGTCAGTTTGCCTCAGGGCAGCTGTAAAGCATCTGTGAGCGTCCAAAACAGTTATATAAAACTAATGAAATATTAATATCATTATTATAGTTTCCCCACCGTGGGAAAGATAAAGGATCTCTTATGGATATAGTTTGTTCCAATTTTTGAACAAAACTCTCTGGTCTTATTTGATGAGCATGTATCACCACCTCCATCCATCCATTTTCTACCCTTTAATCCATTTCTGGGTCAGGGGGGTGGCAGTCAGAGATGCCACCCAAGTCTCATAGCACCAGCCCCTCACTGACCCTCTGCAGGTGGTGAGTCCACAGGAGGACGGCTGCTCTCTGAGTGTGAGCATAGCCTTGATCTTTCAGTGGGGGCTTTGGGCAAAGCGGGGTTAAGTGTCTTGCCCAAGGACACAACGACAGCAGTCATCAGTGGGAGTCGGTGGAGAAGGTGTAGAGGTGGGAATTGAACCCACGACCTTCAGGCCTGAAAGCCAATGCTCTACCAACTGAGCTACTGTTTTTACTATGTACTTTATACCTTTAATATTAAAGTAGCAGTATGTAATATTTGCATGTCAAGTCATCATTAAATGGCCCCAATATTTCAAAAGGCGTTATTAAATCATGCTCTTTTCCAATACATCTTTAACAGTAGTTCAGCCGAGATATTTGAATATCAAAATTAGTGTTACGACCCGTAAAAGTTGTTACCCTCCACCGTTTCGCCAACCAGGAAGTGTCATGTAAGTCCGTGATCGGGTTGCCAGAACTCTGCGCGGCTCACTAATCTCAGTGGTAAAATAACATGTGGCGCAGAACTAAAAAAGATCTTGTTATGACTCTCAAATAATTAATGACAAAACAAAGACTAAAACGAGGATTTATATCGGGACGCCTTTGAAAAATGGAGACGGCTGATAAAGTTTTTGTGTGATGAAATACTTGTTGCTGTGAATGCGTTCTTCATGAACGGTTGAATTACCTGCATCCACAGCAGCACTCTTCGTGAGTACAGGTGGTCTATTAGTTTAGCCATTGCGTTCAGCATTTCGAGTTCGATTCCGAATAGTCTTTTTGTATTTAATTGCATGTTATCACATTCTATGACAGATTGTTCTAAATACGGTAAAAGACGAAGGTCAAGAAGTTTTTTTGCAAATGATAGCTTATTTGTAAAAAGAATAATTTGAGACCACATGTACCCAATTAATTATACATGTCTAAAAAATAGGGAATAAATAAAATGTAAAGGTGATACCCCTGGAGCAAACCCTGATGTTGATACGCTGAAGAAATACGTTCCAACATCCATTCTTCCCACTCCTATTTTGGACATCAATTGCTTATTTATTTGCATAATCTATAATTACATTGCTTTTATTTATTTTTTATCTCAAATGTCCAAATCAAAAATAAAAAAATCAACATTCGTTCAACATTAGCACGGCTGTCATGGCGATGTGAATGGAGACAGACAACTGATAAAATAATTCCTTATGTTTTCTGCTGGATTTGGTGTGTATCTGGCAACCTGAGTCAGGGAGAGTGGGAGAGGACTACAAAATATTGACTGTGACTGCAGTACCACTTTTGGCCAGATTTTTACATATTGCTCCTTTAAAGTTGATAATGCTGTTTCAACTACAGTTGAACCTGATGAAATCTCACACAACAAAGAGACAAAGTTAATCTTTTACTTGTTACATTGTACAAGGAGAATGTCTTGACAGAGGCAAGGCACAGACCCTAGCCTCTCTCAGGACAAGTCTGAAGATTCACAGTCTACAAGCCCCTTTTGGTAGAACAAGACACACCTTCGTATGCAGATGGGAAAGGAAGAAACCAACACAACAAAAGACACTTAGCATATGAGCTCCCCAGACCTCCCGGTGTCTTCCTGAAGCTAAAGTGAATTACAATACAGAGCACTCAGCACATAGCCACATATGATTTACCAAAATGATAACTTAATATCCAATTCCATTCCATTCCAATATCAAAAGTATTGCACATTATTACAGGTGAAGGCCAAGCACAGCTGTGTTTTACTCAGTTCAAACTACATTAGTTTTTCAAAGCTTCGGATCAGGAAAGAAACTGCGGAGCTCAGTGTTTGAATTAGTATGTTTTGCTGTATTATGTGATTTCTTGTCATGTTTATATGGATGAGGTTGGATGACTGTGCCCATGTGCAGTACCAGTGATGCGGCCGCTGTGCTCCGTCAGCTCGTGCAGCTTCACCCACTCCTTGCCCTTCTTCTCATAGATGAGGACAGAGTTGTCGTTGGGACTCACTGCGATTTCTGTAAAAAGACACTTATTAGATTGAGATGATATATTTATTTCACCATATACACCAAACTTATATCAACACAACAGACAAGTACATGGTTGGAAAAGGGGAATGGCGGTACGGTGGCTGAGTGGATAGCACTCTCGCCTCTCAGCAAGAAGGTCCTGAGTTCGAATCCCGGTCGGACCAGGGCCTTTCTGAGTGGAGTTTGCATGTTCTCCCTGTGTCTGCGTAGGTTTCCTCCGGGTACTCCGGTTTCCCCTACCACTAAAAATATGTCCAATAGTTCTAGCATGCGCCTCCTGTACCGGCGACCCCGCTCCCATCTCTGTGTGGAGTGAGAGACAAATGCCCAAAAATTAACAATTGTAAACCGCTTTGAGACTCAGATCTGCAGTGAAAAGGCGGTATATAAATAAAGATTACTGATAAGCCAGGTCTGTAGCTGTGGTTTCAGCAGTAGTTTATCACCGTCTTTGAGTGTCCAAAAATATATATATCTTGTGAGATTTCATAACACTTTTAAGCAACTTTTGTTAAAGTTAAACTCATCATTCTATCAATGTGCAGAAGCCAGTACTTTTCCCTTGTTTTGTCTATCTGAAAGCCAAGCTACATGGCACTGTGGCAGCTGCTGATTGGAGGTCTCCATGCCTCCGCTCTGTATAATACACTTGCATTCTGTTGTTTGTGTTGTTCGTGCTGTCTCTATCATCGACAATAAAACATGTCTTCTGTCTGAATGAAAGACGCGATCCCAGACTTTGTCATCTTCTTCAGGTGGTGGAAGGATGCGGGCCTTGTCTGTAACATCTACAGACAAGTGTTTTTTTTTTTAAGCCAAAACTGAAAAACCTCAAGAGAAACCATGCATCTGGATCAGCACATGGACAATCTGCACAGCCCCTGATTCCAGTCAGGCTGTGAGCTGCTGAGACATGGACAATACCATCGTCCTCTTTTGCAAGGACATAATTTGGAACAATTGGATTACACAATTTGGACATGATTTGGACTGAATTGAATTGCTAAATCTGGACACTGAAGCTGAAACGTGTGATTGAAATAACACGTCACAGAAGAATTCATGGCTCGACACAAATGCAGCCTGAAAGAATCAACACGGAGAAGTGGGAGAGACTGTTTTCAAAGCAATATCTGGAACCACATCGACTGATGAAGTTTGGTATTTTACTGAAGATTGATGACAAGTTTTATGAAAGATCTGAAAATGTTTTATACGTTTTCTGAGTTTTTGAAGTATTCCGAGTTCTGAGTTTTTTGAAGTACCGAGTGAAGTACCGAGTTTAAGTATTGAGTTATGATGTTATGTTGCTGTTTATCGATCCTGATGGTCACACGGGAATGTGTGACCAGAGGGGGGAATGTGAGATTTCATAACCCTTTGAAGCAACTTTGTTAAAGTTAAACTCATCATTCTATCAATGTGCAGAAGCCTGTACTTTTCCCTTGTTGTGTCTATCTGAAGGCCAAGCTACATGGCACTGTGGCAGCTGCTGATTGGAGGTCTCCATGCCTCCGCTCTGTATAATACACTTGCATTCTATTGTATCTGTTGTTCGTGCTGTCTGTACCATCGACAATAAAACATGCCTTCTGTCTGAATGAAAGACGCGATCCCAGACTTTGTCATCTTCTTCAATTTGTACAAAATGGATGCATTATTATTGTTATTACATTACTCTACTCTACTCTCCCCTGATTGGGACGCATTCCACGGGCCCTGTGTAACTGGTACCAGGAACTGTTTGAGTCCCGGGTACAGGTTAAAAAGTCCAGGGCAGTGAGACCTACGTGTGCGCTCCTTGTTCCAGGCGTGCACAGACAGCGGCTCCAGTCCAAAGCTGTAGAGCGACATGTCGAGGCGGAGCTGGAATGTGCTGCACACAGAGACACAGAGCAGACCTGTTCAGACGCACACCTGCGCACACACACACACACACACACACACACACACACTTCTGTTCAAATGTCAGACTTCGCTTTGGAAATCCACACATGAACAATTGTACATTTCACAAGAATGTTTCTCCCGTCTTTCATATTAATACTGTATGTTGTGTTTTGAAAAGGCACTGAGTTAATAAAATATTTGCCAATTCTAATTTTTGAAACATTTCGACAAGTATACAGGGAGACAGGGAATCATCTTCAATCAAAACTATCTCTAAAACACAGAAGTGCAGAAGAAACACATGTTGCTGTGATGAGGCGTTAAAGCTTTGACCCGTGTTTACATTGTCCTTGCTATTGGTGATCACCTCTTTCATATCTGCTGACTTCCAACCAGGAAGGAAAGGCAAACCTCAGCAACAGTTAGTAAGAAAAGACCAGGCAAGATATTTAGATAACCATGTGTGACTTGTACTTTGAGGTTAATCTGTGACTCAGAATATATTTGAGCAGTGACGACGTACTGCGTTCTTGCAGGATATCCGTGTGATTGCTTAATAATCTCTAGTTGTGAGGCGTGGATTTGAGACGAAAAGATGTCCACAGCATAATAATCACAATAATGTTTCGTAATGCATTAACCCTAAGTATGTTTGTGTCATAATAAACACTGAACAACAGTCTGGGACCTGTCTGTGTCATAATAAACACTGAACAACAGTCTGGGACCTGTCTGTGTCATAATAAACACAGCCCAGAAGTCCACACGAAAAAACAACGTAATGCATTCACTAATTCACTAAGTATTTAAGTTTACTAAACATAGTCTTTCATTTGTTGTGTGTTTCTGTTCATTCTGTCACTGTATGTCTGTCAGTCTGTAGCAATCAGGACCATTGACCCTGAAATGTGTACAGTATGTATCAATTCAAACAAGAGACTCTTGAAATTGAGTTGTTGTATTTTTATAACTAGTTTCTAATGATAAAATAAAAGTCTGCTGTGTGTGTGTGTGTGTGTGTGTGTGTGTGTGTGTGTGTTTGTGTGTTACCTGAGTGTGCTGAGGCGGTGGATTCGTGGACTCTGGGCAGTCTACACGAGTCTGGAGGAGGAGCTCAGAGGCCTGGCTGTTATACACCCTGTGGGGGAGGGGGTGACCCGGGGGGAGGAGTTTGAGAAGAAAGGTAGGTAAACTTTGGTGGCTGAGTGGTTAGCACCCTCTGGGTTTGATTCCACCTCTGGACAGAGCCTGTCTGTGTGGAGTTTGCATATTCTCACCATGGGTGCGTAGGTTTCCTCTGGTTGCTCCGAATCCCCCTACCACCAAACCCGGATTCCCCTGAAAAAGAGATTGTGAAATCCCAGTGGGACTTTCCAGGTTTATTTCCTGGTTAAATAAAGGGCAATATAATAAGACTCAGAGTGGTCTTAACTGGAGCTGTGTCAGAACACATCAACATTACGCTAAGCCACGACCAAAGAACTGAAAATTAGCATTAATAGCTGAAACTAGCTGAGAGACCAGGACAGAGGGCAGAAATGCAAGGTGAAAACTAGAAACCCCAGGGCAGCTTGCAAGGACCCATGATAATCATTTTCTCTCTCATATTTCTCTGAGGAGCACAGGGACCGGCCTCCTGCTGGGACTCTGAGGAAGGAGCACAGGGACCGGCCTCCTGCTGGGACTCTGAGGAGCACAGGGACCGGCCTCCTGCTGGGACTCTGAGGAGCACAGGGACCGGCCTCCTGCTGGGACTCTGAGGAAGGAGCACAGGGACCGGCCTCCTGCTGGGACTCTGAGGAGCACAGGGACCGGCCTCCTGCTGGTCCCAGAGCCTATGGGGAGACAGCGTTTAATGCAGCTACAATCTGGAGCTGGTTTCTGAAATTACATACGTTCGAATGAGACATCGTTCAAGGCATCAGGGTCCAGGGATCATCCTTTTTCCAAACAGCCTTGAACAAAGCACACCGCCTCCCTACCTGCCCCTGCTCCCTGAGAGCAGCCCCGGAACTATAGGAGAAGCTCCAACTGCAGAGGAGAGCGCTTGACTGGGAAGGTTTGCAGCAGAGGGAGACACGGCTCCAATGAGAACCAGCGCCTCTGAATCCAAGGCCACGGTTCTGGATTGGACCAAGATGCCTTGTCCAGGGGGGTGTAGACAAGAGGAGCCCAGAACAAGTCACAGAAGGATAGAGAAAGCTCAAACAACCAAACAAGTCAGATTCCATTCCAGTTGTTGGCTTTTATTGTGTATTAGTACAGTTTTGCAAAAATAGTCTACACCCAAGTTTTACCTTTATCTGTTATAAACCATGTAAACATTAGCATGCTAGACCAGGTGGACCGACCAATACATTCTTTTCATGATGTGGACGTCAAATTGTTAGAGGAAATGGGGCTTTATTTCTGATTCATCACGTCACAGCGTCAGAGAGTCAGAGTTTGTCTATCTATCCTTTTGCTCTTGTAAGTACTTTGCACCATGAGCCAAAGCAAATGCTGAGTTTGACTTCCTGTTACTTACAATGGAGGGGAGAGGGTCCAGAGGGAGGGGAGAGGGTCCTGTGGGATAGGAGAAGGTCCAGAGGGATGGGAGTAAGTAAGTAAGTAATCTTTATTTATATACCGCCTTTCACAGACCAGAGTCACAAAGCGGTTTACAATTGTTATTTTTGGGCATTTGTCCTCTCCCTCCACACAGAGATGGGAGCGGGGCCAGTACAGGAGGCACATGCCAGACCTATTGTACATATTTTTAGTGGTAGGGGAAACCGGAGTACCCGGAGGAAACCTACGCAGACACAGGGAGAACATGCAAACTCCACTCAGAAAGGCCCTGGTCCGGCCGGGATTCGAACCCAGGACCTTCTTGCTGAGAGGCGAGAGTGCTATCCACTCAGCCACCGTGCTGCCCTAGGAGAGGGTCCAGAGGGAGGGGAGAGAGTCCTGTGGGATGGGAGAGGGTCCAGAGGGAGGGGAGAGGGTCCAGAGGGAGGGGAGAGAGTCCTGTGGGATGGGAGAGGGTCCAGAGGGAGGGGAGAGAGTCCTGTGGGATGGGAGAGGGTCCAGAGGGAGGGGAGAGGGTCCTGTGGGATGGGAGAGGGTCCAGAGGGAGGGGAGAGGGTCCAGAGGGAGGGGAGAGAGTCCTGTGGGATGGGAGAGGGTCCAGAGGGAGGGGAGAGGGTCCTGTGGGATGGGAGAGGGTGCTGTGGGAGGGGAGAGGGTCCAGAGGGAGGGGAGAGAGTGCTGTGGGATGGGAGAGGATCCAGAGGGAGGGGAGAGGATCCAGAGGGAGGGGAGAGGGTCCAGAGGGAGGGGAGAGGGTCCAGAGGGAGGGGAGAGAGTCCTGTGGGATGGGAGAGGGTCCAGAGGGAGGGGAGAGGATCCAGAGGGAGGGGAGAGGGTCCTGTGGGATGGGAGAGGGTCCAGAGGGAGGGGAGAGGGTCCTGTGGGATGGGAGAGGGTCCAGAGGGAGGGGAGAGGGTCCAGAGGGAGGGGAGAAGGCCCTGAAGGATGAAAGGTGTCAGGTGCTCTTGGAGGATCCGTGGGACAATAATATCCAGACTTTGTGTTGGAAAAGAAGATAATTAGACATTATCACACATTTATAAGAACACAAGTTATAACTCACACATCCAACACTGAACAAACAGATCTGTGGATGTTGGAGCAAAAGTCGTTGACAGTTGTTCAGAGACTGGTCATTATAGACACAAACGTCCCCGTCTCACACTCGTCCATGTTGCTGATGATGAGTCTTTTTGTCCCTGTCCACACAGTAGTGAGTGAGTCCTCCTCAATGAACACGTCTGAAGTACTACAGGGTGTCAGTGATTAAAGTACTTTTCTGTTCCGAGTCTGGTCTCTGATTTGGTCCATTATTTCTCTCTTATTTACAACAGTTCCATTGTGCTCAGACAGAAACAGTCCTGGATGTTGGAAACAGTGAACCTGAGGAGCAGCTGTTTTCTGGACGTTATTGTCAGGAAACAAGATGTCGTCTCCGACATCAAAGCTCCACCTGACATTGCAGAGGACTGTGTGTGAATACTTTTACAATAGAACACAGACATGATTATTAGTGCAGAGCAACAACAATAGTAATATATATATCCATGATAATAGTCATCAGAACTCACGAGCATCCTACACCAATCTTCACCCAACACACAGGTGTAGGACATCCATCCATCCATTTTCTACCCTTTAATCCATTTCTGGGTCAGGGGGGTGTCAGGGGGGTGACAATCAGAGATGCCACCCAAGTCTCATAGCACCAGCCCCTCACTGACCCTCTGCAGGTGGTGAGTCCACAGGAGGACGGCTGCTCTCTGAGTGTGAGCATAGCCTTGATCTTTCAGTGGGGGCTTTGGGCAAAGTGGGGTTAAGTGTCTTGCCCAAGGACACAACGACAGCAGTCATCAGTGGGAGTCAATGGAGAAGGTGCAGAGGTGGGAATTGAACCCACGACCTTCTGGCCTTAAGGCCAATGCTCTACCAACTGAGCTACTGTCGCCCCGGTGTAGGACATCCTCCACGATAATCCACCTGTGAAAAGTTTACCACTAGAGGCCGCTATAGCTGCATGTTGTTCAGCGGAGAGGTGTCAGGTGTCGGGAATCCTCTTTTTATATATACATTTTTTACATATGCATTTTTAAAAAGTGCATTTTGGCAGCTGATCCCCGCGGCTTCCCCATAGACTGGAACTATATATTCCACTTCTACTGTAATAAAGAACCTAAAGGAGCCATCTGCTTTGAATGTGCGGACCACATAACCACAGACTTTGAAAACCCGGGCCACTTTACCTCCGTGCTCCAACCAGGAAGTGAGTCAGGAAGGCAGGTAACAACGCACAGGTGCAGCTACGTGTACGGGCGCAGGTACGTGTAAGCTGTTTCTATCTTCTTTTCGGCCCTACCCTGTGCTCAGTGGGTGGGTCTGCAGTGGGTGGGTCTGCAGTGGGTGGGTCTGCAGTGGGGGGTCTGCAGTGGGTGGGTCTGCAGTGGGGGGTCGCAGGCGCGGCAGTGATGAAGATCATGGGCTGTTCGCAGTCGCATTTCATTGATATCAATATATAGACGATGCCTTTACCGCAAATATCACAACTTTAAAGCTTTTTATTCATCAAACGTTTTACAGATTGTGGGAAAAAGCAAACTTGTATGACGACCCAGATAGCAACAGACTCCGGGGCGGATCCGCATTCGGTCCGCCACATCCGCCCCAGAATCAAATCCGCAGAGCGGACCCGCGGCGGATTCAAACCAGATCCACAGAGCGGACGCTCTTCCTCCGCAGAGATACGCGTGTGATCCGCGCTGCGGACGCCCGCGCATCAACTGCATCTCGCACGCGCACAAACTGACACTCAGGGCTAACTGCATTCTCCGAAAGTCCGCTGTGAGTACATCGTCAAAGATCATTTATATTATCCCCAGTTGTGTTATAAAGTTAACTGGGGTTATAGTGTGTCTGTGTGAATGTTTTGTGCCTGCTTTTAGAGCGCAGTAAAGTTTACCAGTAAGTTTGCGTTAAATCCGAGAGTCAGCTATGTGTATAACCGTTAAGATAGTTTGACAGATGCTGGAGGAATACAGTCTATGAGGAATACCTTTGTAGTTAGTTTCTAGTATTTATCCGAATGTTTTTAGTTTTTAGTCACTCAGTCGTTGAACAGAAAAATGGATCGATAATGAGTTGAAGCTCTCCATGCCAAGTGACTCCTCGTAAAATGGGTACTTATAACCTTTTCGATCAATATTTTTTTTTTACCATTTCATATCAAAAGAAAAAACTTCCCAAGTAATAGACCATCCATCCATCCATCCATTTTCTTTCCCTTAATCCATTTCTGGGTGGCAGTCCCAGCCCCCTGATCCTCCTGCAGGTGGTGAGTCCACAGGAGCTGAGATCTTCCAGCGGGGGTATCAGGCAAAGTGGGGTTAAGTGTCTTGCCCAAGGACACAACGACAGCAGACATCAGTGGGAGTCATGAAGTAGGTCTTGCGGTGGGCTCGAACCCATGAACCCTTCAGAGACTTTTGCTGTTGTGACTTAGGGCTATACACAAATAAAGTGTAAAGAATTGAATTGAACTGTTCTCAGGAGGCAGGAGGAGAATGTACTGACGTCTCACTATGGGTTTTATGTGTTTTTGAAGCAGACAGCAGTGAAGATGGACCCAAAGGTGTTGGACCAGTTCAATGATGCACTCGGCCGCTTAAAAGCAAAAGAGTTCTTCCAGTCCGACTGGGACATCGCCTCGTGTGCCGTCTTCTTCATCTTCATCGGTGAGTCTGAGGTCCACCCACAGCCCTGTTCCACCCCGTCCTCTGTGTCTTGATCACAGACTTTATATTAGACAGAGCTAACACGCTGACTCCTTATAGCAGCCTTACATTGTTAGCTCTCTCACTTCTCAGCAAGAAGGTCTTGGGTTCAAATCCCAGTCTGAACAGGGCCTTTCTGAGTGGTGTTTGTATGTTCTCCCTGTGTCCAAGCTTTCACTGGGCTCTCAGGTTTCTCCTACCACTAAAACCACAACAATAGGTCATTGTTATAACGACCTCATAGCAACCAAAACAGTCAGAAGACAGAGTAGTTCATTCCCCAATCTCACTATTTGCTTTGTTCAGGGATAGAACAGCTGCGGTTGTTCTGACCAAGCCGAGCCGCTGACTGCCTTCGCTCTGAATGCTGCCTCTCACGTTCCTTCAATCTGGTTCATGTGTGTGTTTTAGGAATGGTCCTGCTGCTCTTCATTCTGGTGCTGATCCGCTGCTGTTGCTGCTGTGATGACAAAGGGGTAAGCTTTGTCATGTTTTATTTTGTGCTTTTAGTCTAGTTTTACTTCCTGTCCTGTTTCCGTGTGTGGATTGTCTGCCCCGCCCTAACGTGTTTCATATGTGTCTGTATGTACCTGTGTATCTCTGTGTCTGTATGTACCTATGTCTCTCTGTGTCTGTATGTAACTATGTCTCTCTGTGTCTGTATGTACCTGTGTCTGTCTGTGTCTATATGTACCTGTGTCTCTCTGTGTCTATATGTACCTGTGTCTGTCTGTGTCTATATGTACCTATGTCTCTCTGTGTCTATATGTACCTATGTCTCTCTGTGTCTATATGTACCTGTGTCTATATGTACCTATGTCTCTCTGTGTCTATATGTACCTGTGTCTATATGCACCTGTGTCTCTCTGTGTCTGTATGTACCTATGTCTCTCTGTGTCTATATGTACCTGTGTCTCTCTGTGTCTATATGTACCTGTGTCTGTCTGTGTCAATATGTACCTGTGTCTCTGTGTCTATATGTACCTGTGTCTGTCTGTGTCTATATGTACCTATGTCTCTCTGTGTCTATATGTACCTGTGTCTGTCTGTGTCTATATGTACCTATGTCTCTCTGTGTCTATATGTACCTGTGTCTGTCTGTGTCTATATGTACCTATGTCTCTCTGTGTCTATATGTACCTGTGTCTATATGTACCTATGTCTCTCTGTGTCTATATGCACCTGTGTCTCTCTGTGTCTGTATGTACCTATGTCTCTCTGTGTCTATATGTACCTGTGTCTCTGTGTCTATATGTACCTGTGTCTCTCTGTGTCTGTATGTACCTATGTCTCTCTGTGTCTATATGTACCTGTGTCTGTCTGTGTCTATATGTACCTGTGTCTGTCTGTGTCTATATGTACCTGTGTCTCTGTGACTATATGTACCTGTGTCTCTCTGTGTCTATATGTACCTGTGTCTATATGTACATGTGTCTGTCTGTGTCTATATGTACCTGTGTCTCTCTGTGTCTATATGTACCTGTGTCTGTCTGTGGCTATATGTACCTATGTCTCTCTGTGTCTATATGTACCTGTGTCTGTCTGTGTCTATATGCACCTGTGTCTGTCTGTGTCTATATGTACCTGTGTCTCTCTGTGTCTATATGTACCTGTGTCTCTGTGTCTATATGTACCTGTGTCTGTCTGTGTCTATATGTACCTGTGTCTCTCTGTGTCTATATGTACCTGTGTCTATATGTACCTGTGTCTCTTTGACTATATGTACCTGTGTCTCTCTGTGTCTATATGTACCTATGTCTCTCTGTGTCTATATGTACCTGTGTCTCTCTGTGTCTATATGTACCTGTGTCTCTCTGTGTCTATATGTACCTGTGTCTCTGTGTCTATATGTACCTGTGTCTCTGTGTCTATATGTACCTGTGTCTCTGTGTCTATATGTACCTGTGTCTGTCTGTGTCCATATGTACCTGTGTCTATATGTACCTGTGTCTCTCTGTGTCTATATGTACCTGTGTCTCTCTGTGTCTATATGTACCTGTGTCTATATGTACCTGTGTCTCTGTGTCTATATGTACCTGTGTCTCTGTGTCTATATGTACCTGTGTCTCTCTGTGTCTATATGTACCTGTGTCTATATGTACCTGTGTCTGTCTGTGTCTATATGTACCTGTGTCTCTGTGTCTATATGTACCTGTGTCTGTCTGTGTCTATATGTACCTGTGTCTGTCTGTGTCTATATGTACCTGTGTCTATATGTACCTGTGTCTCTGTGTCTATATGTACCTGTGTCTCTGTGTCTATATGTACCTGTGTCTGTCTGTGTCCATATGTCCTGTGTCTATATGTACCTGTGTCTCTCTGTGTCTATATGTACCTGTGTCTCTCTGTGTCTATATGTACCTGTGTCTATATGTACCTGTGTCTCTGTGTCTATATGTACCTGTGTCTCTGTGTCTATATGTACCTGTGTCTGTCTGTGTCTATATGTACCTGTGTCTATATGTACCTGTGTCTGTCTGTGTCTATATGTACCTGTGTCTCTGTGTCTATATGTACCTGTGTCTGTCTGTGTCTATATGTACCTGTGTCTATATGTACCTGTGTCTGTCTGTGTCTATATGTACCTGTGTCTATATGTACCTGTGTCTCTCTGTGTCTAAATCAGTGTAGGTTATGTTTATGAATACGATGTTACAGCTTCAGTGTGCGGTGTCACCAAAAGCACTGGTTCAAAAGTGTTTAATAAATTAGAAACGGACCCAAGTATTATTTTTTTTGTGCATTTTTCAAACCTGTTTTAATTTTGGTTATAGAAATAATCAGAATCATTTTTATTGCTGTGTAAGTAACAGGAAGTCACAGACTAGGATATTGCTTTGACTCATCAGTCAGAGAAGAGAGGTAAAGAATGGAGAATAGAGTAAGGCACAATTACTATATACAATATAAAAGTCTGCACATGGTGCACATAATATGCAGTGGAGTAAAGTGACTTTATAAGGGACAGTAAGGTGACTTTATAAGGGACAGTAAGGTGACTTTATAGGGGGCCGTGAGATTACTTAAAAAGGACGGGGGGACAGGTTATGAGTGTTCAAGAGTCCAACAGCAGAGGGGAAGAAACTGTTCAAAACCTACCTCTCTGGCGGGAGGTTCTAGTCCTGATGGACCGTGGTCTCCTGCCTGAGGGGAGTGGTTGGAATAGTCCATGTGCAGGTGAGAGGGGAGTGGTTGGAATAGTCCATGTGCAGGTGAGAGGGGAGTGGTTGGAATAGTCCATGTGCAGGTGAGAGGGGAGTGGTTGGAATAGTCCATGTGCAGGGTGAGACGTACAGGTCCTGCAGCGATGGAAGGCTGCGGCCGATCACTTCCTCTGCAGAGCACACAATGCGCTGTAGTCTCTGTTTGTCCCTGACTGTGGCTCCAGCGAACCACACGGTGATGGAGGAGGTGATGGAGGAGGTGATGGAGGAGGAGATGGAGGTGGTGAGGATGGACTCGATGATGGCCGTGTAGAACTGCACTAACATCTGTGCATAGAAATAATAAAAACCTGCTTCTGAGTTGGAACCTGTAGCCGACTTGTATTTGGTGACAGTTGTGTTGCGTTCAGTCCAAGATGGCGGCGCTGCGGCTCGGTCACGGGTGCGTTTGTTGCAATGGGATGTTCTGTTGAGGTTCACCTCCTGGTTCTTAGTTAGAGCGGAGGTCCTCACACCTTTGTAAGAAAGTGCAAAGCCTCTCAACTCCAAAATGCAATAAACCAGAATTGGCAATTGCTCTAAAAAATTCTACTTGGTCTGTCTCTAGTCATGACTTATTTTTTAATTATTATTTTATTAATACTTTATTTTTGTGTTTTAGAATTCAAATAGAATGTCATAATTCGAAAACATAACAAGGCAACAGTTATAATGCAAAGAAAAGATTTCGTCAAAATTATAATAATAATATCAACAAAATCAAAAAATGAATAAATAAAAGAAAAATAGAAAAAACAATACAATTGATAAACTAAAGAGGTAGAAAAAAAAAGGTTATGACTGATGAGTCTGTCTCATCAGGCTGTAACCTGCTACTTAAACTGCTGCGTAACCTGCTGCGTAACCTGCTGTGTACCCTGTTGTGTAACCTGCTGCGTAACCTGCTGTGTAACCTGCTGTGTAACCTGCTGTGTAACCTGCTGTGTAACCTGCTGTGTACCCTGTTGTGTAACCTGCTGCGTAATCTGCTGCGTAACCTGCTGCGTAACCTGCTGCGTAACCTGCTGCGTAACCTGCTGCGTAACCTGCTGTGTAACCTGCTGTGTAACCTGCTGTGTAACCTGCTGCGTAACCTGCTGCGTAACCTGCTGCGTAACCTGCTGCGTAACCTGCTGCGTAACCTGCTGCGTAACCTGCTGCGTAACCTGCTGCGTAACCTGCTGCGTAACCTGCTGTAACCTGCTGCGTAACCTGCTGCGTAACCTGCTGCGTAACCTGCTGCGTAACCTGCTGCGTAACCTGCTGCGTAACCTGCTGCGTAACCTGCTGCGTAACCTGCTGCGTAACCTGCTGCGTAACCTGCTGCGTAACCTGCTGCGTAACCTGCTGCATAACCTGCTGCGTAACCTGCTGCGTAACCTGCTGCGTAACCTGCTGCGTAACCTGCTGCGTAACCTGCTGTGTAACCTGCTGTGTAACCTGCTGTGTAACTTGTTGTTGTGGTGCTCCTCAGCCGCGTGGACACAAGGTGGGCTTTGAGAACATGGCCATGGAGCCCTGACTGGACCTGACTGGACCTGACTGGACCTGTCTGGACCTGTCTCCATCACACTCTACACATGATGCACTATGACTCCGGTCAAATCTCATAATTGTTGATTGATTTAGAATAGTTGAACTGTCTCTGGAGCTGTGAGTGCCTGCTGCAGGACAGGGGCACATGCTGAGCCGGAGTTGGTCACACACCAGGAGAACCAATAGAACTTTAAATCATAGGTTCTATTAAGATTATAGTTACTGAAGTCACAATCCAGATGAAAACGATTGAGAGAACATCTGGTGATGACGGTGTTTACCACGAGTGACATGTTTTGATGATACCTAAAAGGAGCAATATGCGAAAATGTGGCCAAAAGTGGTACTGCAGCCTCTCCCACTCTCCCTGACTCAGGTTGCCAGATATGCAGACGGATCCAGCTGGGACCATAACAGCTGAATAGACAAGAGTTTTGTCAACAACAAATCTAAAACCAACACTTATTTCACAAAGATATAAATCCTGGTTTTATTCCTTGTTTTGTCATTAATGATTAGAGAATCATAACGAGACCTTTTTTGTTTGTTATCGGTTAGTATTCGCAAAGAGCAGGTTTTATTAATGCCTTTTGACAGATTAGGGCCATTTAATGATGACATGAAAATCTTACATATTGCTACTTTAAAATTAATATAATTTTATTATTGTCACAACTGTTAATATAAATATAATCACATTCTATATTCAATTCATGCTGTCTAATTTAATGCTTGTGTATCTTTTTAGTAAATAAACATTTTGAAATGTTTGATATCCTTGCGTTAATCTTTTTGAGTGAATGCATTTTGCTTATGGCACCATCTGTAGTTTTAGAGGATGTAAGACCACTTTAACTATATAAACAGAACGGAATGGACGCCTCACACTTCTGTAACAACTGAATTGAGTGATTGCTACAAACAAATTATTAAAATGGTTTTCAACTATATGAAGTTATTATTCATTTGTTGGACTTTTTGTAGAGGGATGAGCTTAAGGCGCAACTATTGCACCGTTTCCACCAGCCCTACCTGCCCCTACTCTACTGGTCGTGTTTCCATTACGTTCAGTATCTGATATTGTGTCCTTGCAACCAACCCAAACCAGTATCCGGGGACATTTCTATAGGTTACCACGGCAAGGCAAGGCAAATGTATTTGTATAGCACAATTCATACACAAGGCAATTCACAAGCATTAAAATAAATAAATAAATAAATCATAACTTTTCCTGGATTCACGAGGAGGCGAACAAGTACCAAATAATGCCATATTCCATCTTCAAAGCGCACAGTTCTCATCAATACCGGGAAACCATTGTATTACTTTTAATATTCGTAAATGTCCGAAAATTAACAGTTTTGCCCTATTTTTTTTCCATAGAGCCTTGATAGATATGTTTAAAGTAACATCCAGTTGTTTTGACATGTACCATTTTTTTATAAGAAAAAGGCAACACATGCAGTTCTATGGACAGTACATGTTTTTAAATCACTGCTTCTGTGGTTAAAGTGCACAACCATAAACAATATGTTGTTTCCCCCAAATGATGGAGTCCATTGCTTTTGAACAAATTGGACCACAATATGTTGTCTTCGTCTTAGAAAGCAAGTTATATTTACATACTTGTAAAATAAATATTTGACTATTTTCTTTTCCCCCAAAGGGAAATGTGTCCTCTGCATTTGACCCATGCTTCATTGTCACTGGAGCCTTTATCAGGAGCAGGGGTCGTCCCATCTGCAGATGTTGATGCTCGGGTTGGTCAGGACCAGAGCTGGACAATCTTTGCATATTGTACATGATTTTAGTGGTAGGGGAACCTGGAGCATGCAGACACGGGGAGAACATGCACACTCCACTTAGAAAGGGCTTTTCTGACAAGGATTTGAACCCAGGACCTTCTTGCTGAAAAGCGAGAGTGCTAACCACTCAGCTACAGACAATTACCACACCTCCACTCCATGAAGGACTGCAACACCCATAAATACTGCACATCTGTCAGACTCAGTACTTATTATCAGTACATATCTCGCAAAATAAATTAATTCCAATATAATCCTGTTCAGTGGTAAACATAAATATAAAAACAATAATTATTCAATAACTCCCACATGAACAAAATGTTGTTCCTTCCAACAGGAGACTTGTGAGTCTATTGCTTTTGAACAATTTCGAACACAACACGGCGTCTTCATCTTAGAAAACAAGTTATATTTTGACTCTTTGGGCTGGGAGATGAACAAAGCTCTTTTTCAGAGCAAGAAACTTTATTACATATATCCATATTTTGTGTTTTGAAATGTAGGTACCCCAGCTTTAAATGAGTGTGCAGTTGTGATGGTCTGTCCCAGCTGCAGGGCTGTGGTTTCATGGAACTTTAGCACTTTAATGTATTATAAGCTAGAATGGTTTACGTCATGGTTTTACACGTACAGGAGCTGACAGGCCAACAGCACTTTGTCTAAACTTACATAAACCTACTTTAACTTTGATCCAAGTGTGTCTGAGTCACACGGGCCAAACCCATAGGGAGTGAACAGGGAAAGTGGAAAAGCTCACGTTTTGTGGTCAACATAGTCCCAACAGAAGAGGGTCTGCAGGTGGTCAGCAGGTGGTCAGCAGGTGGTCAGCAGGTGGTCAGCAGGTAGTCAGCAGGTGGTCAGCAGGTGGTCAGCAGGTAGTCAGCAGGTGGTCAGCAGGTGGTCAGCAGGTGGTCAGCAGGTGGTCAGCAGGGGGTCAAGAGCGGTCTGTGAGTCCCTGGTCAGCAGTGATGTCAACATAAGATCTAATGAGAAACGGGGAGAAGAGAATACGTTTTTTTACGTGCAGCAAAAAAAAGATGTCCATGATATGCATATTATGTCTGTGAATATGAACTTATTCACTAATCTGAGAGACAGACAGAAGCCCATGATGCGGTCTTCTGTGGTCAGATCAGAAGCCCATGATCCGGTCTTCTGTGGTCAGATCAGAAGCCCATGATCCGGTCTTCTGTGGTCAGATCAGAAGCCCATGATGCGGTCTTCTGTGGTCAGATCAGAAGCCCATGATGCGGTCTTCTGTGGTCAGATCAGAAGCCCATGATGCGGTCTTCTGTGGTCAGATCAGAAGCCCATGATGCGGTCTTCTGTGGTCAGATCAGAAGCTCATGATGCGGTCTTCTGTGGTCAGATCAGAAGCCCATGATGCGGTCTTCTGTGGTCAGATCAGAAGCCCATGATCCGGTCTTCTGTGGTCAGATCAGAAGCTCATGATGCGGTCTTCTGTGGTCAGATCAGAAGCCCATGATGCGGTCTTCTGTGGTCAGATCAGAAGCTCATGATGCGGTCTTCTGTGGTCAGATCAGAAGCTCATGATGCGGTCTTCTGTGGTCAGATCAGAAGCTCATGATGCGGTCTTCTGTGGTCAGATCCTGTCTCTGCTGTGATGGGACCACACCTGCGCCACATGAGAGCTGTGACCCACAAACACAGGGACATCCCCTGAAGACATTTCAGAAATTGCCGCGGACTTAGCTTCTTCTTACAAAGTAGACATTGTAACAACAGCAACTCCGCCTCGGTTGTTTCATAGATTTGTCTCAAAATTGCTCCACATCATCTGGATGGAACATGGAACATGGAGCATTAAACGTTGGCCACAGAAGTTTGGTCGGTTGAACGATGTGCAGCGGAGCGGCAATGCTGCAATTCTCTTGGCACGTCTAAATAGACTCTTGGAGCATTTGAGCCACCTCTTTCTTTCAATCATTTAAAATTACTTTGACTTTTACAATAACTATGAAGAAAAGAGCGTGAAGAGTGTAGAGCGCGTGCGCAGCGGAAGTCACGCAGCTCACGTGGGGCGGTGGGTGTGTGTGTTGTTCATTCACTGCGACGTTTTATTTAAAGTTGTAAAATGGCGACTGTGCATCTGCGGATCGGCGATCTGGTGTGGTAAGATCCTGCTGCATGGGTCGGAGGGTTGAGGGGGTGTTAGGGCTGATCTGGCCCGCTCACGGTGCACTTTATCCCGCTGTTTGCTCCGTGTACGGCCGTGTCCGTGGACGGTCTAAACACTTCGTCCCGAGCGGACTCCGACCCGCTGTAGCGGCTAGTGCTAGTGCTGCTAACTAAAGATTTTAGATTATATCTGCTCGCCATTGCATGTGTATATAGCGTTTAGTTTTGGTTATTTGATGTAGTAATGCATGTGCATCTCCTCAGATGAGTGCATTTGTGTGCTTCTGTTTGGGAGGACTAGCTTTAGCGTTAGCTGCAATGGCTATAGGGTTAACCCATCATCGAAGAGACTCGTTAAAGTCGTTACTTTTAGGCCCGTGTCGCCTTGTGCAAATAGTTATCAGCTAGGATTTGGAGGTAGAAACATGTTAGTAACAGAGCATAGTTTAATGTAACTTCACATAACTTTTATTCCAGCAAGCCACTTCCTGATATGTTAAATAAGTGGATGCGAAGTTTTAGAACTATTATTCAAATGTATTTTTCCCCGTTTCAAAAACCTGTTGGCCGAAGTACACACAGAAGTACAATACAGAGAGTGTGTGAGTTGTGTGGTTGCTGCAGTCCCACAGACCTCTGCTGGCCCAGGGGAGTGCATCCTTCTGCTTATTGTTGGGGAAATTCAATATGTTAGAATTATCCAATGTCCCTTTATCTGTTTGCATTGATTCATGCATGTGTTGTATGAATAAAGTCAGTTTCTCTATTGTGTTTTTATTTTAGGGGAAAGCTGGGCCGATATCCACCATGGCCTGGAAAGGTAAAGTCATTTTTGTTACTATAATGGAGCAAAGGTCTTCAGTGCTTTTTCTTGTTTTAAAATTCAGGTTGTAAGCCCTCCTAAAGATTTGAAGAAACCCAGGGGCAAGAAATGTCACTTTGTCAAGTTTTTTGGAACCGAAGACCAGTAAGTACAATAATGACCAAAAATGCACACACACATATATTTCAATATTATTTTTGTATAATCCTAAATCACAACAGCAGTAATCTTGGAGAACTTTACAAATGTGTTGATTTTCCAACAACAGATCAGAGAATCAAAGTTCAAAAATAACAAACACATTGGTGCCATCGGTCCATAGAGAGCGGGATGACCACTGTCCAGAAATGTGAATAACTGTCTCTGATCATCGCTGTCCTTAGACCCCTCCCGGAACAACAACAAAAACATTGGGGGGGGGGAAAAACTAATTCCCAACAAATGATTTTCGTAACTATAACTTTATACAAGTGGCGATTTTTTTTAAAAGAAAAGCATACAGGATGACATTTCTGTGCTGAGCTGTAATAGTATTTGTATGAAATTAAATTCTTTTTAAAAATCCATTTGAAACGGATTTCTGTGGTATCATGTAAGTTTTACGCTTTCAATTTTCTGAATGTGATTGTTTTATGTCCAGTGCATGGATCAAAGTGGAGCAGCTCAAGCCTTACCACCCTCACAAAGAAGAGATGATCAAGATCAACAAAGGAAAGCGCTTCCAGCAGGCCGTGGACGCCGTGGAAGAGTACCTGAAGAAGGCCAAAGGAAAAGACCAGGTCCAGATTTAATTTCATTTTATGTATTTTCTTTCGTCTTTGATTTCCGAATGGTTGGGTTTAACCTGGAGCTTCAGTCAGTTGCCTATGAACTAGATTGAAATGACTCAAGGCAAGCTTATATCGATATAATTTTTATTCTTGAACTGGTTTCCCTTGTTTGAGTATTTCATACATGTTTTGAGTGATTTTTATTAAGTAACTTATTTGAGTTTGCAAAAGTATGCACCACATGAAGGCGCAGGAGGAGAAGGTTGTATGAACTCTCCTCCCCGCATGGTAGTTTAGACAGTTAGACTACCACTTTTTTGGGATAACTGAAGAGCTTCAAATCAGCTGGCATTAGTGCTCTAGAATACATTTTTTTAATGCCAAACCTTTTTCTTGTAATTGAACAGAACTCTGAAGGAAAAGCAGAGTCTAAAGGCAAAAAGAAACCTCTGAAAATCCTGGACGAGAATGATGAAGACCTCAGTGCACTCAAAGACCCCTCAGAAAAGGTAATGCTAACATATTGCTACAACGTAATATGGATATTTTTATTTTATGTTATTTGCAAAATCCTGATATTGGCCTCTCTTCACCGCAGCACAGTACCAAGTCAGAAGTTGTCTCAAATTACTTAAACTGTTGGTTAGAGTACTTGGTGTGTAGCACTGGTGTGTGGACAAATGTCACGTTAGAATTATGTGTTGGAGTCTGTATTATTCAAAATGTTGATGCCAATATTTACACTTTCCTGCAGCTCAGCTGAAGCAGCAGTGCGTTCTATCAAACTGTTCTGCAGATAACCCTGTCCTGAGATGACTACTGTTGTGATTTAGGGCTATACAAGAATACAGTACAGACCAAAAGTTTGGACACACTTTCTCATTCATAATCATGAAAATAAAAAACTTTGAATGAGAAGGTGTGTCCAAACTTTTGGTGTGGACTGTACATTGAATTGAAATGAGTTTAACCCACTTCTTTCCCCCTTGTGTCAAAACCTTTAGTCTAGTGAAGAGTAGTGCTTATCATCAAATCCCCAAATTTGCATTCTTTTTAAAAATGAATCTTTTGTAAAATGCATTCCTAACGTTGTAGCCACGAACATGTCTCATTACGTGGAAAGATATTCCTGGACGTCTCCGATCACGGCCCAAAGAAAAGGCTGTGCGCAATTGTTGTAAACTGGGGGTTAGTTTTGATATTTCACAAGTTTAATAACATTTGGCAGAAATAAAGTTTAGAAAATGTTGCTTAAAATGTATTTTAAGGAACTTGCGGATGAATCAGAGTTGCTATTTTAAACGGACACAATTTTCCTTACCACAATTTGGAATATGGCGTTGCACAGTGTTGAAACTGACAGTAGATGACGTCTCTCATACACAAAATGTCTTTGAATTTTGACATTGTTGAAGGGATTCACTTTCACAACTTTGCTCACGTTCTATTTCCACTCTTTGTTTTGACTAAATTATAATGACCAGTATAAAATGCCAGATTGGAATAAAGTGACGAGTTCCCTGCACAGGTAATGCTCCCTAAAGCACCGGCCGCTCCCCGCGGTCCTGTCCATACATCCAGGTGAATGTGTTTGTGTCTCCCTTAAGGACCTAACAGACTCTGAGCCGGAGCCGGCCGCTCTGGAGAGGCTGGGGACTGCGTCGGGCTCTGCCTTCAAGTGGGACAGCAGTGTAGGTGACCCAGTCAGTCCCAGCCTGCCTCTGCTCTCTTCCTCCTGCACTTAACCCTGTGTGTGTGTGTGCGTTTGTGTGCTCTATGCTTTTCTCCTCACAGCTCCTTGGGGATGTAGCTGCCTGGGGACTGGGGCCTTTTCTCACCAACAAATGTGGTTGTGTTCTGGGCAACTGTAGAACCTCCCAAGCTTTCTTTCCATTGAGCCATATGTCGGGTCTTTCTCAGAGTTGTCCTTCTGTTCAGACTTGGCGCTGTTAAGATGCTTAATGGACTTTTCACAGCATCCAGACTTGCTTTCCTTTTCGCTATGCACAATTTTGTAGAGTGATTCGTGACAAGGCAAGATTATTTGTGTAGTACAGTATACATAAGGCAACTCAAAGTGCTTAACAAAACAAGAACAACACGCATTCAAATCACACAAGGCGTTCAAAAGACTGAAGATGCAATCCTTCAGTTGTTGCAGCTAAAAACAATTTGGATTTGAATTCCATCAGTAAAAGCCTGTCACATATTTTCTAGAAAACTGTTCCAGATTTATGTAGCTGCCTGAATCTGAATCGTTGCCTCTCCATGTTCAGTCCTGACTCTGGGCATCAGCAGGAGGCCAGTCCCTGTGCTCCTCAGAATCAGTGCCATATGAACCAACTAAACATGTCCTTCTTATAACACGGTCTTTTAAGTGGTTTGACACTTGCACTTTATTAAATCAGTGTGAGGAATCTGGACCAGTGTGGCTCGGTGGAAATGTGCAATCTTTGACCTCTGTTTGACGATCGTGCATAAACCTTTGCGTGGCGTGTCTTGACAGTTTGATTTGTGGATTTGTCCTTTGTCTGACTGTGGCTTATGTTGCAGCCGGTGAAGGATGACCCACATTTCCACCACTTCCTGCTCAGTCAGTCGGAGAAGGTACATCCATCGTCTCAGTCACGTCTCCAATCAGACCATTTACAAAGAATAAGGGGCTGTCAGACTTTTAAAATGTTATGTCTGTGTCCTCAGCCCGCATCATCGATGGAACCAATCAGTAAGAGACTGAAAATCGTTGAGGAGGTGAGTTTGTGCCTCAGTCTAGAACCAAAATATTGAAGCTGTTTTAAAAATATCTGGCCACACATTCAAATATTTGATATTTGCAATTCATCTCAAGAACTTATGTGGAAAAAAGGACAATGATTGAATACATTTTTGACTCGGCAAACTTCTCAAAGAACGTATGAATAAACTATTACTGCAATGAATGACAGGATTTGTTTATTATTATTAATATTTATGATTGTGTTCCCTCAAAAATGCCCTGTATGTAGTTGATCAATTATACAAAATAAAGGTTAGATCTGTGTATCTTTGGGCGCCGCAAAATAACTTCAATTAAAAAAAACAGAACTTTCCTTTAAACCCCAATCTATGCCTAATTTCTATCCTGTAGTTTTTCTAGCAGTAATGACCAAAACTACAATTAATCGTGCATTTAAAAATAAGTGTGTCTCTGTCCTCCTTTTTAACCATTGTAATGCCTTGAAACATTCTCCCGCCTGAACATGCCCAAGGTGTAATCGCTTTTGTTAAAAATGTATCTTTCTAAATGAAAATCTAATCTCTGGTTCAGGATGCAGGCTCCACCTCGATTCAAGCAGCTGACAGCACAGCCATCAACGGCAGCATCACGCCCACAGATAAAAGGTACCACACACATCCACGACAGTCACCGTACGGGGGCCCCAGGGAATTGCACAATAATGGACTATGGCAAGTTTATCATCTACATGGAGCTAAATATGTGCTACATATTTTTACAAGGACTGCTTCATAAGGGGCGACAGTAGCTCAGTTGGTAGAGCATTGGCCTTTGGGCCTGAAGGTCGTGGGTTCAAGCCCACCATAAGACCTACTTCACAACTCCCACTGATGACTTCTGTCGTTGTGTCCTTGGGCAAGACACTTAACCCCACTTTGCCTGAACCTCCCACTGAAAAGATCTCAGCTCCTGTGGACTCACCACCTGCAGGAGGATCAGTGAGGGGCTGGTGCTAAGTGGACTGGGTGCAGCTCTGACTGCCACCCCCCTGACCCAGAAATGGATTAAGGGGAAGAAAATGGATGGATGGATGGATGCTTCATAAGGGAAAGAGCAGTGTGAGCAAAAGCCCAAGCTTTGACCACGAGAGCTACAAATTGTCCCTTGTGTGTAGTTTTTATGACCGTTTCACGTAGTCGACAGCATTAAGCCTTTCTAATTAATCTGTCTGATTTTGGTGTCATAAACGGGTAAATCTGTGTAGAAGTTCATGCTCTCTGGTGATGTTGCCTAATTCATACATCAGTCCAAGCATCTGTCTTTGTGGCACACCCAAATCTACTTAGTTTCTGTGAACCAAAACTTATTCACCGTATTCCAAACTAATACAATCCGCTAAATAGGATTCAAACCTAGCTTTCTAGCCGCTGCTCTACAGTGTTGTGGTCCAGCAGAACAAACACTTACGCTAGTCCAGATTTGAAATGGGTCTGTAATTGCAGGCTTCACTCTACCTGTCAGCAAACTGCACCCTGTGGTTATTTTCCCTTTTATGTCTTCTCTCCTGACTGTATTGTCTCTGCTCACCAGGATAGGCTTCCTTGGTCTTGGGCTGATGGGCAGTGGGGTGGTCTCCAACCTTCTCAAAATGGGTCATGTCGTCACGGTTTGGAATCGTACAGCAGAAAAGGTATCTCCCAAAAATGAGGTCTAAAAATGAATGAATGAGGAAAGCTCATCCTGACCAGGACTTTTATGAATACTGTGTGTATTTCTGTGTTTTCCAGTGTGACCTGTTCATCCAGGAGGGTGCTCGGTTAGGAAGGACCCCTGCTGAGGTCGTCTCGATGTGTGACATCACCTTCTCCTGTGTCTCAGACCCCAAGGCGGCCCGTGATGTAAGTAGCTCTACTACTGATATTGCAACTATGTCCAATGCTTCTGACGCTGTATGTTTATATATTTGGTAGAGCTGAAACAACTAATCAATTTAATCGATTAAAATCGATTATTAAAATAGTTAGCAACTAATCGATGACTAAATTAGTTGACAAACAACTTTTATTTTGCCGTAAGCGGCTCATTTCGTGCATATTTTAACTCTGCGGTGACCAAATGGTGGCAGTAATGAGCCACCGGAGGTTTTACAGCAGGAGAAGTAGCGAACAGCCAATAGCTGGCCTCCTTTTATGTCACATGCTTCGCGCACAGCTTCTCTTCAGCATACAGCAAGATGGCGGAGGCAAGCGGCAGTGGAGCTCGAGAAAGAAAAGGAAAAAAGCAGAAGACAAACCTAATCGAACGAAGTCATCCAAAGTGTGGGAGCACTTTACTTTGAACCTTCTAAAAAGAAGAGTAACTTGTAAACTCTGCGCTACTGACTTGGCCTGGCACGGGAGTACTACGTCTCTGCGTGAGCACCTTAAACCATCTCTCTGCAGTACTGACTGTTTGCAAAAGATGGCGCCACACTCACTGTTTTAGGCATAAAGTTGATCTTTCAACTAATTTGCACAAAGATGTTAAAAAAAAAAAAAAAAATTATCCAGTTTATCGACTTAAATAAGCCTTGTTTGGGATTTTAAACTACTTCAGAAGCCCTAAGGATTTTCATGGTGAAAACATTATTGGAAATCTCCTTGTGAAATTTGCTAGAGTATGTAACGGTCAGTGTTTTGTTTTGATGGTCGACATTGAGTTCAACAAAGGATTACAAAGACATAATAAACAGCTCCAGATATGTTTTTGATGTGGATATGAATATGTAAAATGGTTAAAATCTCTAAAAAGTCTATGTTGAATGATGAAGCCCCTTTGTTAACAATTTACTTGGAAACAAATTGGCAAAACTAAAATATAAGTACATAAACCGATTAGTCGTAAAAATAATCGCCTGATTAATCGATTATCAAAATAATCGTTAGTTGCAGCCCTAAAATTCACCCTTATGCTGTATTTTAAGCAGATTTCCCCCGAGTTTCTCTGATCAATTTCCCACTTAGAATCACGATTAAGGCCCTTTCTCCGCCGCTCTCATTCTGACTGTATTTTGGCTGAATCATATTTAAGCAACATGTTTAGCCCTCTCTCCAGTATGAAAGCGAAAGATGGCTCTTTAACTAAAGCTTGTATATGGATGCCAAATAACACCTCAGTGACGTCCAAAGCATAGAAAAGTCAAAGAGAATACTATGGGACCTTTTTTAGTGTTGGATCTGTCATTAAATGTTTGATTAGAGATTAGAGTTCTTTCTTCAAGACATGATTGGCAAATCCCTCAAAGCAATGTCTGACTCTGAGTGTGTGTTTTGTGTTCAGCTGGTGCTAGGACCCAGCGGCGTGCTTCAGGGCATCAGACCTGGAAAGTGCTACGTGGAGATGTCCACAGTGGACCCTGAGACCATCACAGAGCTCTCCCAGGTACACACCTCAACACACATTTTCATTTTAGTGTTTAAAGAATAGACCGTAGACTGTAGAATGGAGTGGACAGACATTACTCGAGCTGAAAGAAAACACTGCAGTGACTTATTTAGACCTATTTGTCTGGGTCCTCAACAATCCGCACTCGGTTATTAAAGTGATTGTCTGGAGTTTGTCAGAAAGAGACAGAGCAAACCAGGAACAAGCTATTATCATGAACTGCACATTATAGAAACATCTGCAGAGGATCTGATTATGGATATAGGTTCAGTATATAAATGGTTATGGATATAGGTTCAGTATATAAATGGTTATGGATATAGGGTCAGTATATAAATGGTTATGGATATAGGGTCAGTATATAAATGGTTATGGATATAGGGTCAGTATATAAATGGTTATGGATATAGGGTCAGTATATAAATGGTTATGGATATAGGGTCAGTATATAAATGGTTATGGATATAGGGTCAGTATATAAATGATTATGGATATAGGTTCAGTATATAAATGATTATGGATATAGGTTCAGTATATAAATGATTATGGATATAGGTTCAGTATATAAATGATTATGGATATAGGGTCAGTATATAAATGATTATGGATATAGGGTCAGTATATAAATGGTTATGGATATAGGGTCAGTATATAAATGATTATGGATATAGGGTCAGTATATAAATGATTATGGATATAGGGTCAGTAAATACATAAGTACCTCAGTGTGGATGTTCAGAATTCTTTGTTCAGTTTTCCTGTAGTTCCAGAGCCTGATAGAGGCTTGATTCAGAGGCTCCGCGAAAAAAAACAACTGAGCAGCTGGGAGCATCAGCGCTGATGATTGACAGCCCTTGGCATGACTCGATTGGTTAACGTGGACGGCATTGTGGATTCTGAGCTATAGCTAAGAGCAGGGAAGGCGGGACTTACCTGTAATATTAGAATTCATAAAATGACTTATTTTATGTCAACATTTAAGGCCAGAAGGTCAATTTAATACATTTCCTAAAATGTGTATTTCATTTAGAGTTAGACTATCACTTTAATACTGTGACAATTTTACATGGCTTTATTAAACGTTTTTGTTAGTTTAGTTGACGCTCACTAATCAGCGCTGTTTGGTGTAACAATAAGTCGGGTAAACTGTTGATACTGTGACTCTGATGTATGATATGCTTATGCAGTCTTGTAAATAGTATATTTTTGAATGTGTGAACACAATGTTAGTCTTGAATGATGTTATCTCTGTCTTGTAATTTTGTCATGTTAATGCATTTTAATAGCTTTTTAACATCACAGCCAGGGGACTACAGATGAAAAATAGCCTCCTTGGCTAATTCTGGCTTTTTAAACTCATGTTTTATCATGTGTTTTATTAAATTGCATTGTCCCCCTTTGAACTAAACTAAACTGAAACTGAAACTCCCTCATGAGCCCTATTGTGGATGCTAACCAGTGCACGTGTGTCTGCAGTCGGTCACATCGCGGGGAGGCCGTTTCCTGGAGGCTCCTGTGGCAGGAAGTCAGCAGCTTTCCAACGACGGCATGTTGGTGATTGTGGCGGCAGGAGACCGCACGGTGTACGAGGACTGCAGCAGCTGCTTCATGGCAATGGGCAAAACCTCCTTCTTTCTGGGTATGAGCATTCCACCCAGAAGCTCATGGAATTTCCTTTAACTGTCAAAATGAGTATTCTT